CTTTTGCTGGCTTCATTTGAAGTTCAAACACGAACGCTTCTTTTACAATTAACGGCTTTGGAGCCAGCACAAACAAATATGACAGTAAACAACATCCGAACATGAATAACTGAAATAGACTGCATTTACTTACTTGAAAAATCAAGAAAGTTAATCGAAAATTTTCAAATTGTTAGTTTGTAAATTCTGCAATGAATTGAAATGTGACATCAAATATAACGGCTGGAAAAAGGATGGTACCAGCCAACGTTTCTCGTTCCATGTCTACTTACTTGGAAAACCAATTTAAAGATCACGTTTCCCAAGTGTCAGTCCAAACTCGAGATTTTGATATCAAATCGCTCGTAATTGCTGTTCAGGTTTAGGGGAAGCAAACATGCACATGCCACAAATATTCCCAATCTACAACAGGCAAATACTTACGCATGATTAAATAGGCAAACATGAGGACAAAGCGGATACTGCCGAGGCTGCGTAGGAAGTTGCTTCTCAAGTCTGCCTCCGCGACGATACCCCACGTGATGGAGAGGACACACATCTTTGGCTGAGGCCACTTGTCTGTCTCAACCAACATCAACCAGTGAGTTTGGATGTTCCTTTGAAGAATCGGTGGGTTGACATTTCCACTTTGGTGAATTCCTCCAGGAGGTGGAGGTAACGATATGATCAACGAGGAGGATTTGACAAAATCCCGAGCCGATGATAAGCTACAGACATTTGTAAACTCGGTTACATTCGGAATCACTGTTTTACGAAAAAAAGTATTACCTTATGACAGTAGATCCAACTCGGAAACCTAAACCAATTATATTTAACATACTAGTGAGTTTAATCAGAATTGGCTAATCTTTGATCCTATTTACAAAACATGGCAACTCAACGCACTTTATTACGATTAAAGTGCCTCTAGAATCTGGTTGAACCAAATCCTGAGTAAGTCAAACCTAAATATGTTTTAAACAGAAAAACCCACTACATTCCTTAAGAGTTTGTGATGATGCCTAGTGTCTTTTACTACGGATTTTGCATCCAGGCACTGCGCGACCAAAATATTTAAAATCTACAGATGCCTTTTGAGGTCATAGCGGTCACTTCGTCTGTTGTAAGATTCGCCGACTAATGTCAAAGGTATCTGGTTCATTTGTTGCAACACCAACTGTATAAAACTAGGGGAATCGCATTTGGCGTGTCTGATCGGTAGAGCATTTTGAATTGATACTTATACACTGGTTATCGCGCACCGTTAGTGTAGCATTCCAACAGGAAATGCACTTTAACCACCTCAAACGTATCTAAGGTTGTTAACATCAGCGAGCTCTTATTAAACGTAATAAGAAATGCAGCAAGGGGGGCGACAAATGCATAACATTTTCGTTACACTTAATAAAAGCCATTATTTCATGCAGATGTCTGATACAACGGTAACAAATTGCATTATGGATTTAACAGGCTTATATACTAAAACTCAAAGGGTTAAATCTTAAAACGACACATCACCACTAAGGCGAGATTTCGGAAATATAAGCCAGGATAATGAAGCGTTTATTATAATGTACAGAGTATGCGGCTTTCGAATAATATGTTTCGGAGCGTTGATCTTTTCGAGGAAAAATATATTCGCACATAAATTTTACGCAAAATACTTCCAATAACATAAATACGTGTAAATGTACGTTCTATTTACTCCGAGTTGCAAAATTGGTGAACAGGATTAGACGAAGAACTTGATTACCACACAGGACCTCGATGTTATTAGATTTTGAATGGTAGTATCTAATTAGCTTAATATCAGCCTCGAAGTAGACTCTACATTATAATTCGATTTCGTAAATGAGTTATTTTTCAATTGAGCGACACACAAAAGCAGTTCCTACATTTGTTACAAATCTTAAATTCATTTTAAAAGCTTTAAGAATGTTGTTATGTTTTTCTTGCTGTGAGCTTGTTCTTTAACTGAAGAAAAGTTCAGCATTTGGTCTTAAATTTGGCACACAATCTTACTTTGATTTGAAGAATAATTTTTGCTGTTTACAAATCAACCCACAGATTCCCTTAGAATGAAATTAAATCTTATTGCTTACGACGATTATGAATTACGTTGAGATAGTAAACGAAATATTCAATTTTGCTTTAAGCTGGTAAAATGTGGGTGATAAGTTTGAAAAGTAATCGTCAAGGCAATCTAGGAGGTGCTTTTGTAAGCTCAGCACTAATGACTACAGTAAGGCATCAGCAAACATGTGTGCACAAGTTGGACATTACAAACCGACGTTTAGATGATCTTGGCAACACACCATATACCATTGCAGCTTTGACTTTGAGGTGTCCGAAACCAGGCATTATGCTACTGAGTGGAACTATTTGTAACACAAACATGGCGAATAGCATACACTAGGGTAACAAATTGATTGCGTTATTCTGGAAAGGGACTAGGCATAGTGAATGTAGACTACATAGTGTGTTAGACATAATTATTCCAGGTATTAAGGAAACTGTGCATTCAAAGAAGCAGCCTCACCCGGATCTGTAGCAGATTGTGGCAGCCAGGGCGTTTCCACTGCCTGCTGGAATGACGCCGATCGGTGGGATCGAGTTGAGGTCCTCACGACTGTACAAGGCGTTAGCAATTTCATGAATCAGTCCGTCACCAGAAACAACGATAATCGCTTGGTATTTCTGAAGCTCTCGCAGTGGAATTTCTCTGATGTACGTGTTGGCATGACCACTGTATTCTACCCAAGAAGGCAATAGATAAGGAAGGCAAATTTAAATAGTACTTAGTTGTCACTGCAGCTGACCCTCACATGAAACTTTAGTCAAAATAAAACTGATACTTATTACAAAGTCTGTTAGCTTGGATTTTAAAAGTGTAATTTTTTGATATAGCCAAGGGCTTACGAAAAGAGGAATAGAACTCGTAAAAGTTTCAATGAATGCTCCCCAAATCGGCAAAATGAATAAAAAAGGGAAAAAATCCTACCAGCAAAATTTATGCTTTAGAACACAATTAACCGATATTGATTTAATGCTGAATTTGACACCTCAATTTTTCCAAGTGTCCAACAGCTTTTTAGCCTACTATTTTAACTTTCACCCAACGCATGAATTCGAGCACTTGAGCAATGATTTTCAACTCTAAACGCTTTATTGTGGCATTGACCTAGAGAAAACCCAGCAGACCTTGTCCGTATTTTTAAAGTAGGCAATAGAGAAGCGTTGCTTGTGACGACCGCGTTAGTAGCGCTGGCAAAAAGGGCAGTGCAGTTAGAAAAAAAGGAGCAGTTTTTATCTTTTCAAATATAAAGATTTAAAACTCTGTGTTTACATTACTCAAGATCGAGATGTTTATAAGGAACATTTGCTGGATAATGTATGTGTGTTTTCGATGCCCAAATAGTTTAGCGTAGTCAGAAATGTGCTGCACAACCATCACCATGCAACCGATGTTTTGGACCTCTATATTCGAATTAGGAAACCCTTTAACAGTTGTCTTCTGTTGATGTGGTTTTTAATTGCTATGAGTGCTGAATTTCATTAATCCACAACCAAAAGTGCAGTCTTCCTTTTCTCTGATCACTTTGCATTGATATTGCACATGAGTCTTGATAAATTAGTTGCTTTGACATAAAATAAGAGTCCTACTATCATTCTTACACAGAGCTTTATTAAATTAGAATACGCAGTTCACAATTTGTCATCCTAACTGCTACGTCACTTTTCCACGAATTCGAGCACAACTACTTTTTTATAAGGACACAAGACTAAAGAAGAAACAATAAAACCAACCATGGTCACTGAAGGAGCGAAGTTCTCACCAACCTGTTTCAACTACGTCGAATGAAATGCCAGAGAGTGTCAACAGGGGCCCAGCAATGGTTCTGACGATTTCCACTGACTTGCCTTGACCACTGACTTTGTTCAAGAGAAGCAAATAGCGTTGCCGAGCTAAAACACAAACAAGGCATGTTCGGGGTTAAGTATGCACCAACAAACTTCGATTCTTTGCCTTTGCTATGAGATATTTGAAAGCAAAAACAAATATATTAATGTATTGCACTTAGACAGTGTGCAGGGACCACACGAGTCACGAGAGGGTAGATATCATCGTTGGCAATGCAAGTGCACTTACTTGCCACAATTCAGTCGAATAACACACGAGTTTTTACAGGAATGACATTCTCTTATGTTAATATGTATCAATTCAACACAAGTAACCACTATTCCTTAAGGTATAAACTCAAAAGCTATTCGTTGACAATAGATTTAAGCGTGATAATTTTGGAAAATATTATGTGAAGGCACAGGTGTCTAAATTTTACATATTCAACTGTTAGGAACCTTGTAGCCTTTAATTAAACGGTAGATAAATTTCAACTAGTATACACATAGAAGTGCATGATTAATTAAGGAAAATAATTGAGATATATGATAGGTTTGCAACATCTCATAACATCGATTCAAAAAAAAATATTTTTTTGAAGCTGATAACTTCTTAATGGTGAATTTGCAATAATAACCATTTGTTAACAATAAATTGACCCAATTTGTTGAGTTTAAACATCGATCGATAAAAACCGAGGAGGATATTTAAATATTGACGCCCAAGACGTATCAAAAGCTAAATGTACAAGTGATGTCTTACCCAAGTCGTAGCCATCTAAACGATATAGGAATTTTGAACGGAAGCGGTTTGAGGTTTTGAAAAAAAATTAAAACAGAGAATGGATAATCATTCAAATTAACAGTGTCTACATGTTTACGTAAAATTGACTGTTGAAATGGAAACAAAGGTGGTTGGAAATAGTTAAACAACAGTTTGTCCACACGCCATAAGTAGGAACATCTATTAATCCATCATTACTTACTTGGTTTGTTATGGCAGCACCAAGCGTGTCTTTGGAAAGCGACAGAAAAACGGTTGAACCCTGCTTGATCCTCAACCAAAATCATCAAACAACACACTCCAAGGCTTGCATCGTACGCAAAACCGTCCATGTCAAGTGAATGTCCTCGATGGGTGGCAGCTACGAAGTCCACGTCAGTTGGAGTTCGCGGATGGATAAGACCAGTTATGTAGACTCGGAAAAATGACCTATGGCCTACGGTGTGTTCTACCCACCGAAGAACACGCGACCAGGTAAAAAGAATCGCATATCGGGGGTGATTTTGGTCAGTTAAGTACAGACCCTCACAGTCTACGGCGACTGAACCAGGGTAAGGTCTATCAGAGTGCTTGGAGGCAAACCAGCATGACACAAATTCACAATGGCTGGTAGAATAAGTTAAGGTATGTCCACTGACACAGAGGAGGTCGTCGATTGCGTAAACTAAAGGTTTTTTAGGCTTGTCGTTGAGGTCAGGCTGTGGCCATTCTGATGAAGGCTCACTGAAATAGAAGTGAACGAAATTACTAAACAACCTTTATCGATAAAAAGTGAGCGTTAGATAAGGTACAGAAAGGCGAACGGCTTCTAATTACTAAAGCAACCAGACTTCACGTATTAACAGAAACCGAAAAATTAAAAAAATGACACACCTAAATAACAATGATAACATACAAAAAATTGACTACATGAAATTTCCAGAGGTTGGGTGTATATAATCACAAAATGATTCAAACTTTATTGTTGCAAAATTATCATTTGGTCCAAATAACTGATTTGCTGAAGGCACCATAAACTCTTCAAGTCAAACGTTTATTTGCACCTACAATTGCTGTCTAACTATACCTGTTCATGGTCCCAACAAAATAGTTAAGTTAAAAATTAATTGTATATTCAGCGTCAGAGAACCTAACCACTGTCACATCGAACAGTTATTAGAGAAGGTGAAAAATAAGTTTATTGCGCACTGGGAAACCTAGAAACATCCAGAGTGTAATTAGTAACTATAAAAAAACAGATAATATTCATGGAAAACACAAGCTGAAGCATGAAAATGCTAAATGGCTCCAAACATGGAAGAAATATCAGTTTATGCGGTTGCAGAAGTGCAATCAATAACTGGAAAATAAAGGTAGACCTAAACAATAGGTAGATGTATTACTATGTGGCACTAAATGTTGCTAGTTAAATTTTTCCGCAAAATTTATTTTAATAGTTTTGTTTAGGGTTATCTGCTACACGTAATTTGGAATGAACATAAATGTATGTAAAGAGTGGTCTAAAAAATGATACCACTTAAATTTGAATTACGTTTCAACTAATTTAGGCTGCATTAGTAAAAAAATACCAACCAATTTATTGTTAAGGGTGAACAAATTATCGCCGAATTGCTTCCGAATACAGCACTCATCCTACCTTTAACTTACCGCCTGCAGTCTTACAACAGTCAAATGACAGCTTTAAACAATTGTAACAAATAATTCCATGTCGCGCATTTCATTGTGTACTAGGCTTGCTGACATCCTAATAACTAATGTAAAATCGATCGTGTTTTCCTAAAGTGAGTAATTTTTTTTCCTGAATAACTATTTTTTTGATAAAAACTGCGTCAGTAAAATCAGATGAATTTTAAAAAATTTTCCTAAATTAATCCAAATGAAATGGAGAAGGTGATGACTTATTAGGTTTAGTTTAAGGGAAAAAAATATATCCAGCTTACACTTTACTTACGGCGGCAGGCATTCCCCATAAAATTTATCGAAATAAAAGCGTTTCTTTGCCTGAACCACAAAAGTGGAAGGTTTGGAATTCATGAAGGGCAGCAGTGCTTGTTGATGTTTTTTTTAATTACAAAATATTATTGTTAATCATGATACAATGTTCGAAGATGGAGCAATTACGCCTCCTCCGTCAGAATTCGTCTAAATTCAATCTATTTGACACCTTATCCAAGAGCCTAGCACGTTGGCGTAGATTAGTCATGCTGTCTGCTTGCTAAACAAATCTGCATTTCTAAATATTTCTTCCGTCAACCTGCTTAAACAATCTATGAAATAACCTTAATGAATTTATTCAGTAAGTGCTTTTCTTTTTGAGTTCTGAAATTCTCGGAGAAATTAAGACTTTTTTTACTACACAGACTCCTCTCATTCGTGCAGTGATGTATATAAGCTTGGAGCATGTATTATGGTGATTTTGCTTATCTCTAACTCCTAGTGTAGCCAAGTCCAGATCGCACATCGACAGTTTCCAACTTACTGAAATATTTGTGTTGTAGATGCAAACATAATGATAGCTAATTTCATACCTTGAAAATCTATATTTTGTAGTCAAGCCTGATTTTAAACAACCTCTTTGCAATTTAGCTGCGGATATTAATGGCATGAGGCATATTACTGACTTCTATATTTTGTTGCTAGAGTACTGGTATATTATAAGAAGACAATCAATTTAGACTATATTTTAGTGTTTGTCAGACAGTGGCGCGTATTTTTTCTGACACAAAGCATATGACAGTAGTTTACATTGAGTAGTTTTAGTAAAAATGAGGGTCAACATCCAATTAATTTTCAAATCCAGAATTAATTGCAAAATGTTTGTCAATTATAAGCACAACTGACTTGATATGCTAAATGGGAGAAATACGCCGGCATTCTTAATGAATAAAGGTAATATATGTTTCCAGACAACTAACCAAGTTAATGTCTCCAAACTCAGAGGCAGTCAACTTGACCAGGTGCAATAATTGTAAATTTGGATAATTTCTGTGCCAAGGTCTACAGGGTCGCTTAGTTCCAGCACAATCCACAACCAGTTTAAATATCCACCTCCAACAATAGAGGCCCTTTTACAGAGCTGAAATCTAGATGAGTAATTGACAAACATCAATGTGCAGGCACAAATCACTGGATTCAAGCTGTTCTTGATTCCATGTCCGAACTCTTCCTGATCACTTCCAACACTGTTCCCTTACAATCCACAATGGGACAGCTCTGGCCGTTTTTCAGCAGTAGATGGATAGCATTCTGTTTGTCATTCCTTATCACTGCGTACCTCCACGCTTTGTTAAAATTAATGCACTAAATAATTATTTGAGTCATTAATTCAATGCTATCATTCAGCGGATTCAAGACAAAAGGCTGCTAAAGATCAAAAGACTTTTTACGATATCTCTCAGGCATACATATCTTAAGGATTTAGGAGTCCTGTTTGAATGGAACGATTGGGGACGCATTATTTTTTCACCTTCAGCATTCTACCAATTTTAAATGTAGGTTAATGCATTAAAAGGAGACACCATGATAATCCAACCGAGTACATATGCAATAATCTAAAAAAATCGATGGATACAGTACCTTTGACCGAAAACAGTGTAGTATGGATTGACTGCTGGGCAATAGAGAGCCTTGGGTAGTTCATAAAATCGCCATTAGTTAAAAACGCGTTTTGGTTAATGTAACAGGGCACAAACTAGTGCAGATTCGAAGTTACTTGAATAGAAATGGTCGAAAAAACTTTAATTCAACCCAGAAAGTCCCAGGGAGAAGAAACGAAATACGTGACCCCTCAAGCTTCACGGGGTCCGTTCTTACAAGTGCACATGGTATAGAAAGGCAAATTACACTGCAGTGCACAATCCTTGGCGCACAAACACAACGTCAACTTTTGTTTGATCAGCCAATTTACATTTGTTGACCCGTATTTCACATTCACTGAGTACAATCATTACTAGACACCTGCACTCGACTCTGTTATTACTGTCCGAATAATACCATCAATTGTAAAATTGCCAGGCTGCTGCTCCCGTCGTATCAATAACACACTAAGTGCGCATGATGGAAGCATTGTGATCTCGTAAATAAACTGCATTATCAATGACACAGAGGAAATCAAGGCGCTTTTCTTACTCTATCTTGCCATGACACCTGTGTGACAGCCGACAAGAAGGGATGGCAACAATTTGAAGCAGTTAGTCCGCATCACTTCAATCACCACCTAGAATTTTACAACCGCAAATCGGCGTTGTGAGCATTAACCGCTTGAATCTGAGACCCACTAAGTGTGCGAAAATAAGTGTGTTCCTATCTCAAAATATTTTTCATTTACTACGTGAATTCAGAAAGTTAAGTGGCCATTGCCTTCTGAGATTGGTTTCGTCGGATTTGACATGAAACTAAGACAGGTCCAGTTTGATTCAATTGCATTTGTCACAATAAGGTGATAGGGACTTGTGAGTTGATCAACTTATTATTTTTTCCTTCAAATGGACGATAATGAAACAAGTAAGATAATGGGACGAATTAGCTTTGACAAATTCCTCTTGCATAATGATGACTGTTCTAACAGTTACGATCTCTTTATAATTAGCAACAGAAGACACTTCCTGGACAAAGAGGATGTCGACTGTGTTTTGGACGCCCTGAACTCATGTTTTGAATCATAATATTGAGTGCACTTTCGATGGAGAACAATTTGTCATGGCGCACGAATCAGCTAATATTCCACATGTTTTATTCCATGAAAAGCAGACACGGGTCACGGAGATTATTCCGTGTAGCAAAACTGCACGACACGCATCCACACTGAGACCTCATTGGTAATGTTGCAGCTTTCCGATGAGACATCAAGTGCACTGAAAATAGCACAAAAGCCAAAGTGAACCCTCTATGAACCCCCATTGAGTGAAGAGGTGCACGTGGGACTACTATACTTGAATGCTAGTAGGAGGAAAGGTGCACTTAACTGATCATTAGAAAAAAAGAGAATGTTAATACCAAATTCTGCGCCCACAAAGCGAATGATAACGGAAACAGAAATGTGTGTAAATCGTAGAAGATAGTCTTGGAGATACTGAGTCCCCAACAATTGTATCCTCGTTTGTTCAATTACTTGCTGCCAAATCAGTGAGTGCAACAATGGCAAGTGCATAGGTTGAATAGAGAGTTTTCAATAATGCCAACATGAGTTGAACACGTAGTTGTGGAGGAAACACGGTGGTAGAGTTAGTGATGAAGTCACCACGGCTACAATTGTCAGTAGCCTCGTCTATTTCCTTTAAACACGGTCTACAGCGCATCTGCAAATATTGCAACGTAATTTATGCTTACGTATTTCCTTATTCGTGATGACTGTGCACTTGTCACGAATGCATCTTGGGACTAAAATCTTTCGGTACTCCGAGAAACAATCAAATGAATGAATTCCCTAATCGATCTTTGACGTGTTAAGTCGCTTCATGTCAACATAGGTTGCATTGGGGTTTAATGCAATGCATTGTTATGCAAATCGTCAGGTTGGATTTGTATATTTGATGTAACATCGTAAGCTTATGAGGGCGTATAAGTGCTACTAGAATCAGGAAACTTAAACTAATAACGAGGCAGCGGCTGTAAGTCTGCAACCAACAATCTTATCCCACCGAAGCACACAAATTGTTAAAATCGCAATTTGATAGATGCTGTAGAATCCAACTGCATTTGCCTCACTTGCTGTTAATTTTACCTCAGTTACTCACCACGGTCGTGTTGTGCGAAATAAAAACTCCGTCAAGGATTGTTTTGTCGAAATGAAGCAAAATTCATAGATTTGCCAAGGTACCAGCTATTGGAGAAGTGGCATTTGACCCACTGAACTTTGGATAGCATCTCTAAATCATATAAATTAGATGAATTCACAATTTTGAGTCATTTAAACCCATTCAGATGGTACACCCTTTGTGTTTTCTGCTACTTCAAATTATCGTCTCATTTGGACGAACTGTCAGTGACGGAGGTGATGTAGACAGATTATCCTACCTGCAATTTCGTGTTTGACTTTAAATGCTTTAGTTAAGTTTACTGGTTTAGATCGCGAA